CATATATATATATATATATATATATATATATATATATATATATATATATATATATATATATGAACAAGTTTTATTAAATAAAAACAAGTTCTGTCTGATGAACTATTTATTTAGTTTTAAAAATAGTTGAAATAATATGCATATATTGTTAAAAATGCAACGCACAATCATTAAAAAAGACTCATTTGTTCTTTATCTTACCAATATACATGTATATGTTTCATCCAAATCTACACTGTATTAATACTTTCATTGTATTTAGTATTATTTGGACGATATCTTTGGTATTGCTTTGATCACAAAGTGTCCGCTCCTATAACGTACGGCTTTCTTCGGATGTTTGGGTCATTTTGTTGCGCCACAAAAGCGCTCCATTCCTATACACACTATATCCATTGCCCTTTGGAATTATTCTTCATGACCTTCCAGTGAAATAGGCGAATTTCATAAGGACTCCGACTTTTCTGTGTCATTATTAGGGAAGTTAAAATTCATATTAGTTCTTTTTTTTAACGCTTTTATATAATAAAGATATGCTTGATTGACGCGCTGATCACATGATGTGAGTCTACGAATCGATAGATGTGCAGATGCCGTAATGCTTAAAGGCGATTAGCGTTCAGATTCCACCCAGATCCATTATATTTACTTAAGCACATGACTTCCTGGAAAGGAATTCTTTCAGCTATCGGTTCATTCGTAGTGTGAACTGAGCGTTATACCCTTGGATGTGAATGATTTTAGGAAAAAGGAAAAGGACTGAATTGAATTGACAAGCATCGACAAGGCAATGAGAAACGGCTCCTCTATCTTTCCCAAGAAATCATGGCAATTCACAGATAATAAAGAAAAGGAATTTGTGAAGTAGGCAGTGGGAAACCACTTCACTATCTTTCCCAAGAAGTCATGACAATTCACAGATAATAAAGGAAAGGAATCTGTAGAGAAAGCAAATAGGAGAGCATTCTACTAGTTTTCACAATATATCATAGCAATTCAAATATGTTAGAAATGTATTAATGCACAACACAACGGGTAACCACCCCGCTATCTTTCCCATGAAGTCATTCTAACTTACAGATAATAAAGAAGAGGTATTAGTAGAGAAGGCAAAGGGAAACCAGTATCTTTCTCAAGAAATCATGACAATTTAAATGTATTAAAAGAAATGTATCTATGAAGAAAACAGCAGAAACCAATCCACTATCTTTCACAAGTTTTATGGCAACTAAAATATTTTAAAGGAAATCTGATATGACGATTCCAACTGGAAAACAATCCACTATCTTTCCCAAGAAGTCGTGGCAATTTAAAGATATTTAAGGAAATGTATCTTTGGAGAAGTTAAAGGAAAAATCACTCCACCTTCTTTCCCAAAAATTTCATGGAAATTAAAGAATCATATGTGGAAAACTCTGATAAACTACACCCTAAAAGCAATGTCTGGAACCACTTTCAACCATTTCATTCTCTGTTTTTGTCTCCTGTGTTCTAAGGTTTAATAAGCTCGTCGGGAGAAACGGAGAGAAATATTAACAAAGTTTTTGCTAAAAGCGAGGTAACTAAATTAATGTAACTGAATCAAAATACCACTTTCCATCTAAATCAAATCCCAGACAAATATTATTAATCACAGTCTTTGTTTTTCAAGCTGTTCCCGGTGAGAGGAAGGTTGTTCTGATCTCCAGGATTCACTCTGATATTCTTCTGAACAGTTCTGGGATTTTTATCGATCTAATTATTCCTTTCATATCTAAATATTCCAATCTCTTAGCAAACACCTTTGGACATTCGCCATTCTAAATAAAGCTATCCCTGTTTCAGATTCAACCTTTTCAGATTCTTCCCGAACAAATTCTTACACTTTATCTATTTTCTCTTTCATTTTTTTTTTTTTACCATTTTTAAGAGATTTTGATTTCAGTGTTTTCGGAAGTTTCTAGATGAATGATTACTACAATAGAATTTCTGACAACCGGACTAAGAAGGCCTTCCGGATATGAGGAATTGGTTACAAAGTCTGGATATGAGGGGTTATATTTAGATTAAAATAAAAGAACCGAAATCAGGTTTAACATTTATTTTAAATGTTTTATAGTAAACAAAATAAGCTAATGGTGAGTGAAATATAATGGAATTGATTTTAACGAAAAAGAAATTATGTAATGTTAATGAAAATTCATTAAATTAAGTATGCAAAACAAATAATATAACGAGGATTTTTTAAACGCTGTTGCATGATGATTCTTTCTCTTCTAATGTCATTCTCAACTTTTCCACATTTCATTTTGCTTTTGTTCTTGAATATTTTAAACGAAAGACACTTTTTGTTTAACTCTGCGTGCATTATTGTAATCGTCATAGCTGAATGCTAGCTTTCTTTCCATAAAACTGATAACCTTTTCAATAGCTTTTCAGTTTCAATCCAGGTTTCATCACAATCATGTATCTCGTCGCTATCTTGTTGCAGATGTGTCTCGTTGTCATCCTTTCCTCTTATTTCCATCATCTTTTGCACCAATACAAGCCATTAGGGTGAAATAATCAGAAGCAATTATCCAAAGTAAAACAGAAATTTAAAATCAGTTACATATCACCGAAATAGTTCAAATATACACATCAAAATCATGTCCGGATATGCGGGATTCCAGACATTACATATTCTACTGTATATTTCTTCAATGTTCCGCGTCCCTTCAGGCCATTTGTAAGCATGGCATCCAGATACTTCTTATCCCTATCCCTTTTCACTCTTAGCAGTTTTCTCCCTTTGTGAAACCTCTCACCTCGACTCGGTCATCCATTCCCGCAAGCTCTGAAAGTTATTGGCTTGCTGTCTTACTCTGTCTCTCTTAGAATCAATATGCCATGTGAGGATTAAATTCTTGAAGCCCTCTCTCCTCATTATGCGTCTAAGAAATTTCAGCAGTCTCTTTTTAATTCTTAGCATAAATGTTCTTTCTGTTGCCACTTCCTTAAAGATTTCAAATTGCTTACTCGCTCCGTCCACAGAATTCTCAGCATCCTGCTGTAGAACCACATTTCCGTTGTCTCCTCTTTTCTCTTCATCTGCCATATAAGAGGATGGATATCACATAACAACCCAGCGCTCTTTGTTTCTAAAGCGTGCTCGGATTGCGATGTCGTGTTTTCCATCCTCTGTTAAAACACTTCCCAGATATTTAAACTTCTCTACTTGCTTGATGTGAACTCGCATCTTGGCATTTTGTAGCGTTGCATCTCAGACCAGACACCAGGTTCATTCGCAGGGTGCAGCTTCTTTTAATCAAACGTTTGTGGCTTAATATAAGGAAATCGATTCTTTGGTTGGATCGTTACCCAAGAAGAAAAAACCATGAGACGAAATTGTAGCAGTCTGCAAATTTTATTCCGTTGCAACCTCGTAAGGGCCGGCTGTAAAAGTGAGGTGAGTTGAGGGCGCCATCCTTTTCACGTGGCGGTCCTCTGATTTAGGCTGCTAAGAACCACTGTCTTAGAGAGACCAGCTTTCTTGCCATTCATCAAGAACCCAGGATCTGGCTTCACTCTGCTGACCTTCTTTGTCAGGGTAGGTTGACCTGGTTCTTGGGAAGTTCGCTCCAATCAGCTAAACTTCTTTGTCAAGACGATAATCGTCAAAACGATTTCTGAAACATGCTGCAGATGTGTCCTTAAGATATCAGCTGATATCGCCACACTTTTCCTCTTGCTGATGAACATAGTTTCTGTTTTCTTTAATTTGACAATTCTTTTTTCTTACTCTCTGAATAATTCTGTCAATCATTCAATCTTCATTTTTTTTCGATCAAGTGAAGTGTGTGTAAAATTAGCGTAACGGATTATCAGCACAAAAAGTGGAATCGGCGAGTCGAGTTTATGTTCCAGAATTGTTCACTTTAGCGTTACTTTTCTTCCCTGCATCAGCTATAGGTTAAAAAGCAGACTTGCTTCTTTACCCTTGGGTAGCAACTAATCTAGGAGAAGATCATCACTGAATTAAAACAAGCCTGAAGAGGGATGGGCTCCATCAGGCTATTTTGCCTTAGACACATCAACTGCTGTTACGGCTGCTATACATGTAATGCCCTTACGACTTTAATAGGTTACAGTAGTCTTGAGGTTTTGGCCATGGGATTTATTTATATTCACTGAAATATATAAACGAGTATCTTTATTTTTTTATAGCATTCAACCCCAAGCAAGGTGGGAAGCCACTAGTACGCAAGGGGTTACAGAGAGTTGGAGCGAGAGCAAATAGGAGTGATAGAGGAAAGGATGAAGAGAAGGATAGGGGATAGATCAGGGCATCTGGAGACGTCGATTGGCATTACATTTGAATAGTTGGAGATTATAGCTATCAGGAAAACAAGAAATGGGGAGGGAGTTCCACAGGCGAGAAGTGCGAGACATGAAGCTATTGGAGTAGAAGAGACGGCTACATTTATCAGTTTTGACAGTGAAAGGGTGAGAGCGCGATGCCAGCCTAGTAGAACGCTTAAATTCATGAAATTCAGCGAAAACAGCACATCGGAGCAGTTACCATGAAAGTATTTGTAAAGACAGAGGGAGGCGACGGCACGTCTGTGAGAGAGCGGCTGCAGACGAGATGCCAGATCAGGGCCAATTACATTGCATATCCGTCTTTGGATCTTATCAAGAACCCCGAGACAAACAGAAGGGGTTCCAGACCATATATGGCAGCAATACTCCATGCAAGGGCGAATTGTTGATTTGTAGATTTGAAGGATCGACTCCGGCGAGTAAAAATATTTTCTGATGCGGCACAGGCAGCCAACATTCCTTGTGGTGGACGAAGCTATTGACTCAATGTATTTGTTCCATCTCAGGTCAGCGGACAATGTGAGACCGGGCAGTCGCAAAGAGGTGATCTCGTGGAGTTTAGTGTTTCATCATTTCTTAAGTGTTTTGTAGTTGCGTTCTTCGACCTCTTCAATGTTTCTGATATGTAGTATTGTCATTTTCTAATTGCAAAATTCCAGCGTTGTTATTATTTTTCGTTTTCTCTCTCTCTCTCTCTCTCTCTCTCTCTCTCTCTCTTGATCATGACGCATTTACATGGAACCACAAGCATTTCCATAGTTACACTGTAATTAATCAGAGGTCTTCGAAGACTAAATATGCTTATCAATAATAATAATAATAATAATAATCACCAAGAAGGATTGAACGAATAAAAGCCATAATCATGTGAGAAAGAGAAGAAATAAAGAACCCCAGTAACAACAATAATAATTACTAATTGTAATAATTGCTCTAATTACAATTATCACAATTAGAATGATCGCCATTTAGTGTAAATTTTCCAATTTTCCCTGGAAGCCTTATGAGCCATTGCAGCCATAATGCTGTCTTCGAGGGTAAGTAATCGAGAGAAAGGGATGATTAATAACAGTTACAAGAGGAATTCCTCACAGTCTTCTCCTTTGTTATAAATCGTTTACCCATTAACATTGTTATCGCTAGAATATTTGCTAAGGCCATGTTTCCTACTTTAACTACACCCAACTAGTAGTCAATGGTCAAATATTCTGTTCAGCTGAGCTAAGACGGACACAACGCAATACTTTTAGAGCTCTCAGAGAAACGGACTTTCTTGATTGTTTTTACTGATAGTTCATTGAATACAAATTCCAAGAGACGCTCAAGGAGAAGGGTAGAGAATGATATTGTAAGAGAAGAGGAAGTAAGGGAATATTATGAGGACAAGTAAGACTGATATTGTTTGACCCTTAAGCTAAAGAGACTAATATTGTAGTTGGCAAGGAAGTATTCACTCGGGAGCTGGTGCAACGGGGAAGAATCCATCGGAGAAGAAATTACTTTTTATCAAAAGAACACGAAGAGAATGCGGACGTTTTGTTACTGTGAACACAGCATGGTGGGGTGGTAGGGGGTTCTAGCTGTGAGGGTTGAAGTTGGTGGCTCGAAGGAATGTAATTCGTCCGAACATCTGCCATAGTAATAACGATAGAATAGTGAAAGGCTGGAGAAGTTTCGTCTTCGGATAAGGGTTGCATGATGGAGAATAATTCATCACCCACAAGGCCGCGTATGAAGTTTTGAACTCTGTTAAGTCTGGATAATGTACCACCAGCCCAGATATGGAAGCAATGCTACATTCTTGGTCTGTATAGTGAAAGGCTGTCGACGTTTCGTCTCTGGGATAAGGGTTGCACAACAAGGCTGTGTAAGCGTTTTTGAAGTCTGTCGATGCTGGACAGAGAAGATTGTATAGCACCAGCCAAAATATAGCTGCAATTCTCCATTTTTGGTCCGAGTAGTGAAAGGCTGTCGACGTTTCGTCTCTGGGATAAGGGTTGCACAACAAGGCTGTGTAAGCGTTTTTGAAGTCTGTCGATGCTGGACAGAGAAGATTGTATAGCACCAGCCCAAAAATAGCTGCAATTCTTCATTTTTGGTCCGAGTAGTGAAAGGCTGTCGACGTTTCGTCTCTGGGATAAGGGTTGCACAACAAAGCTGTGTAAGCGTTTTTGAAGTCTGTCGATGCTGGACAGAGAAGATTGTATAGCACCAGCCCAAAAATAGCTGCAATTCTTCATTTTTGGTCCGAGTAGTGAAAGGCTGTCGACGTTTCGTCTCTGGGATAAGGGTTGCACAACAAGGCTGTGTAAGCGTTTTTGAATTCTCTATTCAGGATTGCGTACCCTGATATGTCAGTAATACTCCATTATTGTTTTTTCATCTGTCGTTTATAATGATTGAGTATGGCAGCGGGTGTTAGGTATTTTCTGGGGCGATACAAAGAAGAGGACCATTCTTGCAGCATCTTTTGCGATAGCACTGAATATACGCGTTCCATTTGAGAACTGATGTGAGCTTTTGACCGAGTATGCGTTCCAGAGAAGGAATCCTTTTGTTCTTATGACCACTCCTGAGTATTAGTGCAGGTTTGGGCTCTGCTCACTTGTGATAAAATGTTACGGGTTTCGATTTGGATGTATTGAATAATATTAGCTATTCTTTTGTCCATTGAGACTGTAGTGGACCGGGGTGGGGGTGAAGATGTAAAGAAAACACATGCGTTTATATTTCCTGCTAGAAGGTCACGCCATTCAGGGGAGGGAAGAAAATTAGCATAGATTCTGGTCCTTAAAGTAGATATTTCCTAACTACTTTTTGGTAATTTTTCTTCGGTAGATCGCACACAAAACACGAATTCTTTTGCAATATGCGCTTATAAGGCTCTATTCGACTTTACCTGATCATGGACACATTTCATGACAGATAGATCAAGAGCACATTGGATCTAAAATCGATTTCCTCTGTTCAGAAGACGCTGGTTGGGATCATGCCTGAGAGCGCATATATTGTAAAATAAGATTTCTCGAATATTCAAGTCACTTTTTTTGAAAATAAATATGTTTAATAAATAAACGGAACGTCTATTCAAATAGGGATATCCACGAAAAATAATATTTATTATGTATGAATTATTAACAAACAATGAGTAAGAAGTTAAAAAAACAACCTTATGAAGTTTTATCACACACACACACACACACACACACACACACACACATACACACATACACACATACATATATATATATCAGCATTTTGATCATATTTATTATACATATTTTGTTTTTATGGTATCAGATCTAATTTATTTATGATATATGACCTTTTCTGGTTAAGATTATTATCTTAAAGTAAAATGTCTTTAATAAGATATCTCGAATATTTTGGCCAGTAGACTAAATAAATATACTGTTTAATAAATAAATGAAGCGTCTACTCAAATACGAGCATCCACGAAAATATCATTTAATCTGTCGGATTAATAAAAATAAAATCCATCACTTCTTTAGAAATTGCTTTGTTTACTTTAAGGTACAAAACTCAGCAGATAAGTCTATTTCGATTGTATTTTTTTATATCTCTATTCGACTTTACCTGATCCTGGACACATTTCATGACAGATAAATCAAGTTTTCTGGGATCGAACAACAAAGGACGCTGGATGGGACCATGCTGGAGAGCGCATATATTGTCTTTTCTCAAATATTCAAGTGAATATACGAAAATAAATAAATATGAATAAATAAACGGAACGTCTTTGACCGAGTATGCGTTCCGTTAACAATAACGTTTAATGAGATAAAAATTTGTCGGATTAATAAATGAAAAAAACAAACAGATAATTTCTGGTATCTTTATAACTAAAATCGTTTAATAAAATCAAGACAAATAAGTCGAATCCTCATTAGTTGAAGAGCGATGAAGCAAAGAAAATTTGAACAAAACGAGTCAGCATTAAAATAAATGGCACGCCATCTTGTTACACTTCATTCTGTCTTCATGTCGATTGGATACAAGTTCAAGTCTCACTGGTTATAGTCAAAAAGTTTATTCTGATTTTATTGAAGTTTTCGTCTTCGAAATTAGATTTTAAATAAAATAGCATCACCGTTGAATAGTGTTTAGCAAAATAGTCCTGCAGACTATGATTGTTACAGGTTTGATATTCCCTGGGTACTCTCATATTCTTACCTTGTATAAGATTATAATACATATTGTTCATTCATTCGATTTCCAGTTCCCACATATCCTCATAAACTTCACTCTTACCTCTTACGCTTACCTTTCACACAACAACCTCCTTCAGTAAGCCTCTACCTTCAGTGGCTCTTGGGTCTTGTATAAAGTTAACATTAGTAAAGAACAAAAATTTGTTAAATATCGCAGAAGCTTTTCTTTGCTGCAATTATCGTTGTCTATCTCCTTTCCGACTCAATCCAAATCATAAATTTCGGACAGTCTCCTTGGAGATTATAAGACTGTCAGAATTTATAATATAAGTCAATGTGTTCGCAATAAAATTGTTATAAAAAAACGATGTGGTTAAAATTTTTAGAATATACTTGTATTTATATGATAAATATATCATGTTTTATAATAATAGGTTTTTATTTATTAAAAGATCTATATCTATCTATTATCTATCTATCTATCTATCTATCTTAAAGTTCAAATGTATCTAATAGATAGATAGACAGATAAAATTTTTACTGAAATAAATATATATTTATTTATTTATTAAAAATATCTATCTATCTATCTATCTATCATCTATCTATCTATTTATCTATCTATCTCAGCATGTTCATATCTATCTATCTATCTATCTATCTATCTATCTATCTATCTATCTATCTCAGTCTGTTCAAATCTATCTAATAGATAGATAGACAGACAAATATGAAATTACTTCGATATATATATTTATTTATTTATTAAAAATATCTATCTATCTATCTATCTATCTATCCTATCTATCTATCTATCTATCTCATATGTTCATATCTATCTATCTATCTATCTATCTATCTATCTATCTATCTATCTATCTATCTCAGTCTGTTTCAAATCTATCAATAGATAGATAG